AAACCCTAAACCCTAAACCCTAAACCCTAAACCCTAAACCCTAAACCCTAAACCCTAAACCCTAATGTAGGATATGATGTGTAGGTTATAAGAAAAAAGGTATAATGTGATAGGTAAGGTTTGAAAAATTAAAGAGTAAAAGTAATTTTTTAATATAAATGGGTAGGAGATTGTGGAACGCAATTTTTTTGAAAGGTGTGAATCTTTTTGGGACGGAGAGAATACCAAATTTTGATTTAACACTTATGAATTTACTCTCGCAGCCACAGTCACGTTCACCACAAATCAAGTGCACTCTACTTTGTTTTGAGTACAATCACCACAAACAAATTATCAATGATCACATCTAAAATCCTTACTCTAATTTTTTAAAAAGGCAACGTACTGACCTCGATCTATAATGGAGATGGGGAAAACAGAGTTCCTACATTCGAGGTTGAACGACCATACTCCTGCTGTTCTTTTTCTGACTGTCATGAGACCCAATGTTCCTGCAGTTGTTCAAGCATTCTGGAGAAGTCCCCCGGAATTTGGGTGATGTTGCCGGGGAAGGTGGCAGGAGTTTGGCGACAATAGGGGTGCTGCTTCCGGAGCTTCTCCCGAGGTCCACTGCTGTTGGAAGGATGATAAAGACATCCGTTGACGTCGGGAAAAGGGGAAGGCAAACAGCCGGACGGCCGGTAGAGCCTCCACCACCTCCGTTGCTGCTAGCCTTTGCTGGGTTGCCGGATCAGCATTTCAATGATATCGTCGGAGGGTTGGCGTAGACAGCGGTCGTGGGTTCACTGCGGGCCGCGGCTGGGAGATCGATTGCTGCCGCGAGACAAGCGGCTGGGAGATAGATTGCGTCCGCGAGACTAAAAGGAGATGAAGAAAGGGAATTGCGGCGAGAGCAGAAACCCTACTCCACACTTCTTTTTATATACTCCCTCAATGAGTATTTTTTAATTTTTTTCTAAAAATTGACATATATAACTTGATAAGTCTTTTTAACTTGAAACTTTTTAATAGGATTTTACATGCAAATATAAATATCCATGTCAAATTTGGGAAATTTTTTTATGAATTTAAAATTTATCCAAAAAATGTGATGGTACCTCTAGAGGTATTGTCCAAAACTAAAAAAAATTATAATTTATACATTACTGATAAGTCTTTTTGAAATGAAACTTTTACAGAGGGTTTTACATGCAAATATAAATATTCATGTCAAATTTGGGAAATTTTTTGATGAATTTAAAATTTGGCCAAAAAATGTGATGGTACCCCTAGAGCTTGAGGGCAAAACTAAAAAAATTATAATTTATACATTACTGACAAGTCTTTTTGACATGAAACTTTTACAGAGGATTTTACATGCTAATAGAAATTTCCATGTCAAATTTGGGAAATTTTTTAATGAATTTAAAAATTTGCCAAAAAATGTGATGGTACGCCTAGAGCTCGAGGCTAAAACTAAAAAATTATAATTTATACATAACTGACCAGTCTTTTTGACATGAAACTTTTACAGAGGATCTTACAAGCAAATATAAATTTCCATGTCAAATTTGGGAAATTTTTTTATGAATTTAAAATTTGGCCAGAAAATGTGATGGTACCCCTAGAGTTCGAGGCCAAAACTAAAAAAATTACAATTTATACATTACTGACAAGTCTTTTTAACATGAAACTTTTACATAGGATTTTACATGCAAATATAAATATCAATGTCAAATTTGTGAAATTTTTTGATAAATTTAAAATTTTGCCAAAAAATGTGATGGTACCCCTAGAGCTCAAAAGCAAAACTAAAAAAATTGTAATTTATACATTACTGAAAATTCTTTTTGACATGAAACTTTTGCACAGGAGTTTACATGCAAATAGAAATATCCATGTCAAATTCGGGAAATTTTTTGATAAATTTAAAATTTGGCAAAAAAATGTGATGGTACCCCTTGAGCTCTAGGCCAAAACTAAAAAAATTATAATTTATATATTACTTACAAGTCTTTTTTACATGAAACTTTTACATAGGATTTTACATGCAAATATAAATATCCATGTCAAATTTGAGAAATTTTTTGATGAATTTAAAAATTGGCCAAAAAATGTGATGGTACCTCTAGAGCTATTGGCCAAAACTATAAAAAATTATAATTTATACATTACTGATAAGTCTTTTTGAAATGAAACTTTTACAGAGGGTTTTACATACAAATAGAAATTTTCATATAAAATTTGGAACATTTTTTTATGAATTTAAAATTTGGCTAGAAAATGTGATAGTACCTCTAGAGCTCGAGGCCAAAACTAAAAAAATTGTAATTTATACATTACTGTCAAGTCTTTTTAACATGAAATTTTTACAGAGGATTTTACATGAAAATATAAATATCCATGTCAAATTTGGGAAATTTTTTGATAAATTTAAAATTTGGCCAAAAAATGTGATGGTACCCCTAGAGCTCGAGGGCAAAACTAAAAAAATTATAATTTATACATTACTAACAAGTCTTTTTGACATGAAACTTTTACAGAGGATTTTACATGCTAATAGAAATTTCCATGTCAAATTTGGGAAATTTTTTAATGAATTTAAAAATTTGCCAAAAAATGTGATGGTACGCCTAGAGCTCGAGGCTAAAACTAAAAAATTATAATTTATACATAACTGACCAGACTTTTTGACATGAAACTTTTACAGAGGATCTTACAAGCAAATATAAATTTCCATGTCAAATTTGGGAAATTTTTTTATGAATTTAAAATTTGGCCAGAAAATGTGATGGTACCCCTAGAGTTCGAGGCCAAAACTAAAAAAATTACAATTTATACATTACTGACAAGTCTTTTTAACATGAAACTTTTACATAGGATTTTACATGCAAATATAAATATCAATGTCAAATTTGTGAAATTTTTTGATAAATTTAAAATTTTGCCAAAAAATGTGATGGTACCCCTAGAGCTCAAAAGCAAAACTAAAAAAATTGTAATTTATACATTACTGAAAATTCTTTTTGACATGAAACTTTTGCACAGGAGTTTACATGCAAATAGAAATATCCATGTCAAATTCGGGAAATTTTTTGATAAATTTAAAATTTGGCAAAAAAATGTGATGGTACCTCTTGAGCTCTAGGCCAAAACTAAAAAAATTATAATTTATATATTACTGACAAGTCTTTTTTACATGAAACTTTTACATAGGATTTTACATGCAAATATAAATATCCATGTCAAATTTGAGAAATTTTTTGATGAATTTAAAAATTGGCCAAAAAATGTGATGGTACCTCTAGAGCTATTGGCCAAAACTATAAAAAATTATAATTTATACATTACTGATAAGTCTTTTTGAAATGAAACTTTTACAGAGGGTTTTACATACAAATAGAAATTTTCATATAAAATTTGGAACATTTTTTTATGAATTTAAAATTTGGCTAGAAAATGTGATAGTACCTCTAGAGCTCGAGGCCAAAACTAAAAAAATTGTAATTTATACATTACTGTCAAGTCTTTTTAACATGAAATTTTTACAGAGGATTTTACATGAAAATATAAATATCCATGTCAAATTTGGGAAATTTTTTGATAAATTTAAAATTTGGCCAAAAAATGTGATGGTACCCCTAGAGCTCGAGGGCAAAACTAAAAAAATTATAATTTATACATTACTGACAAGTCTTTTTGACATGAAACTTTTACAGAGGATTTTACATGCTAATAGAAATTTCCATGTCAAATTTGGGAAATTTTTTAATGAATTTAAAAATTTGCCAAAAAATGTGATGGTACCCTAGAGCTCGAGGCTAAAACTAAAAAATTATCATTTATACATAACTGACCAGTCTTTTTGACATGCAACGTTTACAGAGGATTTTACATGCAAATAGAAATTTCCATGTCAAATTTGGGAAATGTTTTTATGAATTTAAAATTTGGCCAGAAAATGTGATGGTACCCCTAGAGCTCGAGGCCAAAACTAAAAAAAATATAATTTATACTTTACTGACAAGTTTTTTTACATGAAACTTTTACGGAGAATTTTATATGCAAATAGAAATATCCATGTCAAATTTGGGAAATTTTTTGATGAATATAAAATTTGGCCAAAAAATGTGATGGTACCCTAGAACTAGAGGCCAAAACTAAAACAATTGTAATTTATACATTACTGACAAGTCTTTGACATGAAACTTTTACGCAGGATTTTACATGCAAATAGAAATATGCATGTCAAATTTGGGCAAAGTTTTGATAAATTTAAAATTTGGCCAAAAAATGTGGTGGTACCCTTAGAGCTCGAGGCCAAAACTAAAAAAATTATAATTTATACATTACTGACAAATCTTTTTGACATGAAACTTTTACCGAGGATTTTACATGCAAATAGAAATTTCAATGTCAAATTTGAGAAATTTTTTGATGAATTTAAAATTTGGACAAAAAATGTGATGGTACCCTAGAGCTAGAAGCCAAAACTAAAAAAAATTGTAAATTATACATTACTGACAAGTCTTTTTGACATAAAACTTTTACAAAGGATTTTACATGCAAATAGAAATTTCCATGTCAAATTTTGGAAATTTTTTGATGAATTTAAAATTTGGACAAAAAATGTGATGTTACCTCTAGAGCTCGAGGCCAAAACTAAAAAATTATAATTTATACATTACTGACAAGTCTTTTTTACTTGAAATTTTTATAGAAACTTTTACATGCAAATAGAAATTTCCATGTCAAATTTGGAAAATTTTTTGATGAATTTAGAATTTGGCAAGAAAATGTGATGGTACCCCTAGAGCTCGAGGCCAAAACTAAAAAATATAATTTATACTTTACTGACAAGTTTTTTTTACATGAAACTTTTACGGAGAATTTTACATGCAAATAGAAATATCCATGTCAAATTTGGGACTTTTTTTTGATGAATTTAAAATTTGGCCAAAAAATGTGATGGTACCCTAGAACTAGAGGCCAAAACTAAAACAATTGTAATTTATACATTACTGACAAGTCTTTGACATGAAACTTTTACGCAGGATTTTACATGCAAATAGAAATATGCATGTCAAATTTGGGCAATGTTTTGATAAATTTAAAATTTGGCCAAAAAATGTGGTGGTACCCTTAGAGCTCGAGGCCAAAACTAAAAAAATTATAATTTATACATTACTGACAAATCTTTTTGACATGAAACTTTTATCGAGGATTTTACATGCAAATAGAAATTTCAATGTCAAATTTGAGAAATTTTTTGATGAATTTAAAATTTGGACAAAAAATGTGATGGTACCCTAGAGCTAGAAGCCAAAACTAAAAAAAATTGTAAATTATACATTACTGACAAGTCTTTTTGACATAAAACTTTTACAAAGGATTTTACATGCAACTAGAAATTTCCATGTCAAATTTTGGAAATTTTTTGATGAATTTAAAATTTGGACAAAAAATGTGATGTTACCTCTAGAGCTCGAGGCCAAAACTAAAAAATTATAATTTATACATTACTGACAAGTCTTTTTTATTTGAAATTTTTATAGAAACTTTTACATGCAAATAGAAATTTCCATGTCAAATTTGGAAAATTTTTTGATGAATTTAGAATTTGGCAAGAAAATGTGATGGTACCCCTAGAACTCGAGGCCAAAACTAAAAAATATAATTTATACTCTACTGACAATTTTTTTTACATGAAACTTTTACGGAGAATTTTACATGCAAATAGAAATATCCATGTCAAATTTGGGACTTTTTTTTGATGAATTTAAAATTTGGCCAAAAAATGTGATGGTAACCTAGAACTAGAGGCCAAAACTAAAAAAATTGTAATTTATACATTACTGACAAGTCTTTGTCATGAAACTTTTACGCA